CAATTATTAAATTGTTCTTATCTCAACCCAGGAGTTTCCTTGCCCTTTCCTCTGACTCTCCCCCCATCCCACTGGGACAAAGGGGAGGTGAGCAGTGGCTGGGTGGTACTTGGTTGCTGGGGTTAAACCACAACAGTACCCGTTTAACAATCATCCCAAATAGTCGTCAAGAGCACTGCAACTCTTCAGCTTTCCAGTTCAGAAGTCCTAACCTATGGAGCTGCAAAGAGACGTTCAGAATCTTACTCGGGACACGAATGTGTCTTCCTGTGAACACGTTTAGATTTACATCTCAGCGGATCAGCCAGAGAAAGGAAACACTTGGCTCCTCTCAGCCCCTTGCTTCAATTACTGCCCCTCCCGTGCCCCAAACAAGAGCCTGCTGAAGATGCGCAAAGCACACGCGGTTTTACCACCCCTACGTGGGCACGGGCGTTCCAAGGAAGCAAACCAGAACAGGGGCTTTGTGGGAGGGCAGAAAAGAACGCAGCAGCCCTGCACATGCTCCTTTCAGTGCGCTCGTTCCCTACTGACCTGCAGCCAACCGTTTGGACTGAGGATCGACTACTCTCTTCATCTCAGAACGGGACCACGGGAATCACCTTGCTCGTCACATCCTAAATGAAGGTTGAGAAAGGTTTGGCTTGGAGACCTCTGTGAACATCCACGATGTGTCAGCATATTCTGAAGAGGGAACAGACCAGCCCGGAAAGACCAGGATGGTCAGTCACACCGTTACAGGGCAGGTTCCGTACTTGTCAGTGAGATGCATTATCTGCGGTCAGTCACCACTGACACTAGTCCTGCATCACACAAGACACCACGCACCGGAGTCTGCGCCTCAGCAGAAGCGTAAGAAATGCTCTTCCAGGCTGAAGCACCTTTCTGACTGTTATGAAATGAGGAAACAGCTCTTCAGGTTTCCTGCATGCCCCAAATGTTAATTTAAACCCCCCTGCAGATACCCAGGTCAGCTGCGTACTCGACAAATAGAAATGGTGTATGTGCCCCAACGGCTTGTTTTATTGGCGCTGTTTATTTTTCTGTAAAGACCCAGGTCATATTCATCTATTTTATGTTTACAAAGTTGTACAAATAGGGATGTGCACACGCATCAGACAGTTTTGCAGCCGTTTTTCTACCGCTTGAAACAGCAAAAAAGCTTTGTTCGGTGAATCAGAAACAGCTTTGCAACCAAATGAAACTGCATAAAGATTTTTCAAAAGAACCTACTAACCAGTAAAGTAAATTTATTTCAAAAGGGTGCCAAAGCTTTCAAGAACCTGACGTTTAATTGGGGTGTCCCACTGTCTGTGGGACGCTTAAAATAAGCGTCTGGTCGTTACCACAACACCTGCCACAGATCACACGTACCTGCTGAAATCGGTGATGCTTTCCCGGCCAACCCTCGCAGCTACTGCTGACAGAAAGCAACGAATTAACATACTAAAGCAGCGATACCCTCCAGGAAGAGCATGTGGAGCACACAGGCAACAGAAAAAGCCACGTCTCTGACGACCACGATCCCAACTTCCCAGGTAACACCGGCTAACCGCCTGGTTAGCTGGGCACAAGCCGGCTCAGGTCTCTACGACTGTCAGAGGCGACGCGCTCAAGCGTAAGTAAAAAGTTGCACCATCTCAGCTGAATAAATAAGCTGTTACAGTTGATGAAATAATTTAAAAGCTGGTTTAAAACCTGCAACAGGCTAATAACATTACAGAACCCCCACGAATAAATACTTAAGCTACAGAGCACAACATGCTCTGTACAGGGTATTGCCCTGGCATTTTACCAATCCAAGTAATTTTGCCACGTATCTATTTGAAACCACCACAGCAGCCAGCAGAAGGTGGATTACTCAACAGAGCAGAAAATACGCCGACAAAAAGGATCGCACGTAGGCAAGAGGAGGAATGCTAACTCCTCACGTCTCATGGAAGGCTCTTTTCTTTCTCTGCAATATCCCATTTGGTAAAGGAAAAAATTAGGCCGGCAAAAGTTCCCCACGACTGCTGTGGCCTGTTGGACACAAAAATGTAGGGAGCAGAAGCCAAAGCAACACCAAGTGGAGGTGAAACTTCAGCTGCTGCTGCTGACTACCGACCAATTCCTGTTTCCCACACTGCAGCCGTCGGAGCCCTAGGACTCTGAACGTTCTCCTGGACCCTCTCGGGCTCTATACAGGCGAATGACAGGGAAACAAATTTTTTACAAGTGTCGAGTTGAGGAAAATCATTTAAAGTGCCATCCAGACAAACGGTGAACTGCCCAGCTCGACTCCGGCTGTGCACCGATGCTTTAAAAACCGGCCTTGAGCACGTGGCTGCAACTCATCCACGCACGCGCTGACCGAACGGACCTGGCACGGTTCAGTGCCGAGCCCAAACGTTCATGGCAGCTGCCTTACACGTCCTACACGAACAGAATTCGACTGAGTTCAGCTCCATCTGTAACATACTCCTCTTCGTCCCTTTTAAAGACCAAACCCGGCTGAGTGTAGATGCCAGCCAAGGACAAACTGCTGAGCTTGAAGCCCCATCTAGTGACAAACAGTGGAATTGTTGCTAAACGAAAGCAATGTCCCAGACACCTCACCATCCTCGGCACAATCGATTTTCCTACTTACAAGCATTTTGAGATGCAGTCCAACTATAACATGTTCTCTGCAAACTAGAATGGACGTTTCTCCCAAGAAATCAACGAGCCAGGAAGCAACAAAACCATCCAGCCTAAGAATTACACACTTTCCCAAATCCACCCTATTCTGTTGACACTCCCAGAATCTGGAAAAGGCACACAGGCATTCGTGGCATGCTGACCTCGAACCTGCGCTTGAACATCTGCCTCTTCCCAGCCGGTGTCAGGAAAAAGTCCGCACACACGCTACTTCTTCTTAAGAAACCATCCCAAAGGACATAGTTTTCCTTGTTTATTCACGACCCAAATGAAAATCCACTCAAACCCTCGCTGCCAAGTTGCAGCGGGGGAAGCCACACCAGTGCCCGATACTAGGGCAACGTACCCCTTCTCGCCTGAGCCACCCAACTAGAACGTGTTGCTGGAAAGCAGCAGCCTGCCCTCGCCTCCGTCACAACACACACCCGCGCGATCCTTCAGGGCCGCAAGCTCCGCAGTCCAGAGCTCTTCGCTACGGATCGCCTGCTACCCCAGCTGCGGGCAGGTAACGCAGAAGGAAATCTGCAGCTCTCCTCCTTCTGAACTCCCTGGCTGCTAACGTAGCTGAGAACTGGTCTTCTTCTGACTTTCAGCTGGTACCAGTGAGCTGCTGGGCTCAGAGACCACCACATTCCTGCCCCGGCACGCTGGGAGCACGCTTGGGCGAGGAGCAGAGGAGCTTTGGTCTAATGCTGCCCCTGTGCTGTCTTCCAAGTGGCCCATTTCCAGACCTCTGCAGGCCCGAGGAGCTGAAAGACTTCAGCACTAAACGGTTTAGTGGGTGGGATCCCCTCACGCAGCGGGGATGGCGTGAGTGACCATCTGGTAGCTGGGATGGCTCCAACACAGAGGGGACAAGATTAGAATCTCGCTGACCTTGACCAATCCAAGCCCAAAATTTAGAAAAGCTGCTAACAACACGCTATTATCAGCCTAACTAAATGACTTTTTGATTTTAACCCTTAAACTGCTTACAAAAGTTTAGGCAGGGAAAAAAAGGGAAGGAAAAAAAGGCCTTTCTGTGCAGTCTGAACTTTGACAGAGGCAGAACTAAATGGCAACAGGCACTTTTCTGTGTTTCATCCCCCCAGAGCTGAGCATGACCTGGCCACGAATGCCAAGAGGCCACGGAACTTCTACGACGTATTTCCGCCATCAGGCGATACAGGCACTAATCGCAGGAACGACTGCTCAAAGCAGAATGACACAAATATCATCTCAAATTCCCCAGCCTCAAGGGTCTCACAGCAGCACAGCAATCTCCGCGTCCGAGCCTTGTCAGGACACACACAGCTGGAAGCTTAAGGCAGGCGCTTAAAGCCAACTCATCTTTCCTCCTTTAACATACAGATTCAGCACAAAGATCACGGCCACGGCTGTTTACAAGGTCAATCCTCAACTCCAAGTTTGCGATTCCAATTCGATTTTCCCTATCTCCTCCTCTTCTACATGAGCAGTAACTATGGAAAGAAAGCACCCTACCAGAAGAGCTGGAGTTTATCCTTATCTTTGGCCAGAAGGAACCTCGAAGAGCTTGGGAGACAAACGCTGTGTGTACCATCTGCTGTCTAGACTTGGCTTCTGCAGCATACCGTCTAATTACGCTGTTCCCAAAGGTCCTCATTATCCAGGAACACAGCAAGCAAGACAAAAGGAGATATTAAAGTAATACGCTTGGCAGTGACCTATCGCTGCTACGCAAAATCGAGCTATCCACAACATCCAGAGCTAATCCAGCCACAGCTTCCGTACGACACGGCCGATACGCTCGGACCTAGGAGCTCCCATCTCACAGTCTGAGGCCCTGATGATGCCTCTGCTAGAAACGCCCGACGTGAATGTATTAGACGGAGGCTGGACCCCAGCACAACGGCATTCCAGCAGCCCATCTCCTAGACAACCATGACTGGAATGGGAACAGCATGGGCCTACATTTCAATAGAGATTACCCCAAGCAGTCGGTACTATCAGATGTCAGCTGAAGGCATCACCATCTTCTCAAGCGCTAAGCGTCTTTATCACGAGGCACATAAATACAATTTGGAACAAGAACGTGCTTTACCCACGAGCTTTGTACATGCATCGTTCTGCCTCTGGATGACACAGGACAGTTACTGATGCAGCGTGAGGCCCTTCAGTTTGATAGCAAACTACCGAGGTTCTTTTGGGTTTGTTCTTAGCTCTTCTTAACTCCTCTTCAACTGCTTTGTAACGGTAAGCTGGGCACACTCCAACACTTTTTTTTGTATGTAAAAAGAACTTCAAAACATACAAAAACTTGCAAAGGGTTTCAGCAGACTTTTCTGCAGGAAGTTCTTCACCTGTCTTTGAGTTGCGTGAAGAGAAGAACACTTTCTTGGTTCAACACATTACGTATGTTATATCCATTTCCTACAAATAAAAGCAGACAGAGGTTTCTTTAGAAGCCACCAGCAATTTTCTTAAGTCCTGTCTTCAGTCAAGTCTATTTTTATTGCATTTAACATTTTAAGAGAAGGAATATCATCTCCTAAGCTCAGATGCAACTCTTACAGGCATGTCATTGCATTTCTAAGAGGTAACAAGGAATACACCTCGTGCCTTCTGTTTTAACCTGTAGGAAGAATAAAGTGCATCTTCGTAGAGGAGATTTTGTTACTGAAAAGAATGTAACGGGGTTGAGCTCCCAGGTTTCAAAACCCACAAGAAAACTTTAGGGTGAAAGAATTTAATTTATTCCTCTAGAAAATCTCAATAAAAGCTGCACAGGGAAACTTAGCAGCAGACCTTAGCTTAGGACGTGCACACTAACGTGACAAGAAGTACAGAAACATCTAAAAGGTGCCGAGTGCCGGGAATGAGCAACACCCCAACGTTCCCATACAGCCACACCTGATGGATTACAAAGCGCCACAGCCGCTGCCTTGCCCATCCAGGCCGGCTGGGACAGGCCATCACGAAGCAGGGAAAGGTGGAAAGGAAGCCCAGGTCCTTATGGCCATAGGGAACTCGCACCAGTTTATCTAACCTGCTTTCCCAAAAAGCAAGCTACCAAACGGTCTCTGCAGGCCCCTAAACTTTTAAGATTAAACCAAACACAAAAAAGCTTCAGAGCATGAAGCATTAATTGGACGTCATGGTGAAAGGTTAATGTAAAAACAAGTGGTAGCTTGGCATCTTCCAACCTAGCCTCATCACGAGAAAGCGGTACGAAAGCTCCACAAGCAGCCTGCTTCACTGCCTTTCACTTTCACCTGCCAACTCTCCTGACTCCTGTCCTACCCACTGACGGACAGCTTCCCATATGGAACCCATCCCACTTATCTCAGAAGGGCCAAAGCAGAGGTGTCTCAGCTCCCAGCAACCCACACGAACTTAGAACCCGATCAACAAGACATTCTGCACCTTCCACGTATTGAGGACAAAGCGTAAAACATAGCGAACCGACCCGAATGGATTTTCATAATTTTACACAGAAAAACCAGCAAACAGGTGGTGACCAAAACAGTGCCGTTAATTAACAGTTACGTGATATTAAGCTGTGAAGTTTCCCAACACCACAGCTCAGGACACAACCAGAATACCAAGAGAAATTCACTCTTAACAGTGTCGTCGAGCGCTGAGGCCACCTTGCGCAAACAAGCAGCGTCGGTGCCGCTGCACTCAACTCCAGGTCAGCAACCCACGTGGCGTCAGGTCACGGCCCTTGCTCTATAACCCTGTACGTCACTTGCCCACTCCACCCAAACTCAGCTCCTCCCATCGTTCACGCCAGGTCAGGCTCATCCGTCGCCAACCCAAGGGTTTGACACGTGTACTGACCTGCTGGAACGTAGAAGTAGTCCCCTGCAGTCAGGCAGTACGACGTCTTGTGTAAGGTAACGATAACCGTGCCGCGGGTGATATGGAAAGCCTTAAAGAAAGCCAAAGGGTTCTCGGATCAGCAGCGTTTCTCGGCAAACAAAGCAAGCCCAGAAAGCGCGCTCCCCGTCCGCACGCGCGTCGTGACCGAGGGCACGACCGAACAAGCTGGCGGGCCTGCAATCCCTTTCTCCCACAGGGCTGCAAAATAAGACGCACAACTTAAAAGGGGGGTGGGGGCCCATTTTAGTTATTTGATACGTCTGTCTTGCCTGCAAGATCCCAGCAGGAAGCGCACACGGACGTACAGATTTAGGGGGAAGCAAAGCAGGGCAGTGGGTACCTCTAGCAAGGTTCTTCTGGTTATAACTGATTTCACAACGGGAAGGATTCCTTAATGTTTCCCGCATTTATTTGCATTTTAAGGGGAAAAACCACCCTATACAACACCTGTCAGCTTCCTACGCTACTTCTAACCATCCTGAGATTTTCTGCCTGCACAGTCCTTTCTACAAAAACAAGAAAAAAGCATACTTACTATTGTATCCATGTGCACAAACTGGTGTCCCTTTTCTTTAAATGGTTTCAAAATCAATCTGCCAGTGGCAAAAGCAGAGGTATTCAAATGTTTATATATTTCTATTGAGTCATCTTTGAAGAAGCAGGAGTGCTTGCTTTCCGTGTTAACGCATTCTACAAAGAGAGTCCAGGAGATTAACATTAATGCTAACACATAATTGGTCTCGTTATCGCGCAGTAACTACTAATTACATCACACGTGTTTCAGTGAGACAACAGACTCGCTATTTACCTGAAAAATCAGAACACTCTGTGTCTCCCTCAGAATTCCCTCCAGAAGAGAAACGACTATCCCAACAGCTCGTCTTTGGATGCCCGACGTGGAGTGAACGCTTTGTTTCCTTACCAGTCTACACACGGTTCAGAAAAGCCCGTGGTCACAGCCCCTCAACTCACCCAGAAGGACTTCCTCGTTTGTTACTGGGTCCAGCACAGTGGTTGGCTGCGAAGCATCAGCTAGGGTGTGATCCAGATCTGCAGGTAGCTCACCACCTGAGGGGACAAAATAACCCACACAAAACCCGAAAAGTAAGCAGGCCGCATTTTCAAAACTTTATTAGTTAACCCCAAATTTTCCATGATCTTAGATTTCACGCAGAAGTACTTACATTTGTACGAAGTGACTTAAGCAGATTGAAACCACTATCCGCAAATAAAGGGAAAGGATCCGTAACAACTACTTGAAAACGGAATTTTCACTGAAATTATGTGTATGGAATAGATGAAGAATCCTCCAGGGGAACACCAACTATCTCTCTCTGCTGCTAATGACAGCGTTCACTCCTGAGCACCTGCGCTTTAAGAGGAGGGCTTTTCTAGCAACAGCTGCTGAGAGGATATAAAGCACGTGATGAAGTATGAGGAACAAGTTCCCTCTTTTTACCTACAGATGATGGGCATCAGGAGACTCGAGAGAGAAAGTGTGTGTAAGAGTAAGCACATGTCCAATTTTCCTTCTCTCAAGAACTGCCATTCCAGGAATCGCACCCTCATTTGTAAATCAGAGCACTATTTCTGTAACAAAAAGGATTTTTCCAGAGCAGGAAATAGCCTTCAAGCTGACGACAACCTCACGCTTTCCAAACAGAAAAGAGACGCTGGAGAACGCTCGCGACAGAACAGCTATCCCAACGCTCGCGTGCAGAACTCTCTCCAGCAGGCAAGTTTAGCTCCGCAGAGCACAGGAGATCTCCTCAAATGCCGTCAGAGGATTTGGATGGATGTTAAAGGCAGGCTCTAGCACTGTATAGGCACTCATGGCTGCCCAAACATGCTCACGCCCAGAGAGCAGGGGGTCGGAAGGAAGTGACGGTGTTTGCAACAGCTTTGGTCCAACACAACCATCTCCATGAAAAGCAGCAGCAACAGGTGCAACTCTACACCTGTAACCATAGAATTTTTATTGTATCGATAAAATTTAGGAATTTGTCCTAAAAATTCTACTCAGCTGATGGTCCTTCTATGCATCACTTAAAATTCAAGGATGCTCATCTCTCGGGATGAATGCCCATCAAAGGGGAAATCCATCACTTCGGGAGGACGGCTGGATGCACCCCAAGCAAGTCGTGCCCGGTAGAGAACGAGCAGTCGCTGCAGCTCAGGTTTGTGGGGACTGCAAATGATTTCCACGAAAACACAAACCGTCCTTAGACCAAAGGTTGATCTAGACCAGGTTCCTGTCTCCCATCAACAGTCAAAAGCAGGTACCCCTTTTCCATCCCCAAAAATGCCCTAATAGGGTAACAGCACTTCCACGGAATGCTTCCCGCCTCTGACACGGAGCTCACACGCTTTATTTAGAGCTACTAACAGTAAGTCTTCTGTGAATTTTTCCAGTTCTCACCTCAAATCTACACAGTATTCTGTGTATGGAATTCCTTCCGCGTTTCTGACAAGCTTTCCCTGGACCTGCTCTAGCCCTACTGCTTTCTTCTTGAGGTAAGGAAACAAATTTACATGCAACACTCTAGAAAATCTGACATGGTGGATGAAAAACTGAACATGAGCCGGCCGTGTGCGCTGGCAGCCCAGAAGGCCAACCGTATCCTGGGCTGGATCAGGAGAAGTGTGGGCAGCAGGGTGAGGGAGGGGATTCTGCCCCTGTACTCTGCTCTGGTGAGACCCCCCTGGAGTGCTGCGTCCAGCTGTGGAGCCCTCAATATCAGAAGGATATAGACCACTTGGAGCGAGTCCAGAGGAGGCCCCGTTGATGCTCAGAGGGCTGGAGCACCTCTGCTATGGGGACAGGCTGAGAGAGTTGGGCTTGTTCAGCCTGGAGAAGAGAAGGCTCTGGGGAGACCTTATTGCAGCCTTCCAGTACCTGAAGGGGCTACAAGGAAGCTGGGGGGGACTTTTTACAAGGGCCTGTAGTGACAGGACAAGGGGTAACGGGTTTAAATTGAAAGTGGGGAGGTTCAGATTGGATATCAGGAAGAAATTCTTCCCAGAGAGGGTGGGGAGGCACAGGAACAGGTTGCCCAGAGAAGCTGTGGATGCCCCATCCCTGGGAGTGTCCAAGGCCAGGCTGGATGAGGCTTGGAGCAACCTGGTCTAGTGGAAGGTGTCCCTGCTCATGGCAGGGGGGTTGGAACTAGATGATCTTTAAGGTCCCTTCCAACCCAAACTGTGCTGTGATTCTACAAAATTTGTACCAACATCGACCGTTTTCTTCCTTATTGCTTGAAATGATTACTTCAGCCCTGATTCCAGAACTGTGTCGGGACCACATGGCATTTTCCATGTTTATTAACATTTGGGTTTTTTTGTCCTGTAACTTCACACAGGAATGTTTTCATCTCAAACAAAAGCTCTAGACAGGCCCCATAAAGGAAAGTTGTTTAGCCTCAAAACATCTTCCCCGGAGAGCACAGCAAAAATAATTTGGCTTCTGGACTTCAACTCTAGCTTGCTGTTCTGAGCTCTACCTACAAATCTATTGTCTACTGGCCATAAGGGCCCCAGCAACAGAGATTTATTGCCCATTTTTAACCATTTTATGGACTGTTCTTAAAGCTCTCTCTTTACACCCCTCGTTATGTTTCTCTATTTAACCTACAACAGCTTCAAATTCCGCTGACGCCACATGGTGCCTTTTTGGATGTGGTGTGACAGGCGTCAGCAGAACGACCCGATTTATACCGTAACTGTGCATTACCAAACTAAACACATTAGTGATGCACAGCACCATTAATCACCGGGCTGAACAAGGACTGCAGTGGAGCCTATTTCCTTCTGCTTTAAGTGCAGCACGACACTGCTGGACACGTCCTGCATCTCGGCCTTTCTAATGCTGAGAGTTCATGTTCTTGCAGTCAGACTATACAGCCTTGCTACAGGTACAAAAACAGGATTTTCCACACCAGATCACATTAACACATTACATTATAAAATTATTTTCACTCGGAAAGGGAATCAAGGAGAAAAATCTTACAGCAACAGAGTATTTGATCACAGATTCTTTTTTAAGTATCAAAAGGAAAAAAAAAAAAGCGTGTTCATACTTATGTCATCTTTCTGCTTGTGAACATCCTTCCTCTGTCTAATTTTCCTGTGAGGTTGTGGTTTCGGACTCAATATTCCACTAATCATAAGCCCTCCTGAAATACAGAAAGTTAAACAAGGTTCACTAACTCACCATCATGTTACAAGAAGGCAGACTTGCACAACCAGCACGCACGTCAGCTGAGAACATAATTCCTTAATGCCGAAATTCTGAAATGGCTTTAGAAAGCCAGAACAAACCAAAAAGCTTTTCAACAGCCAGCATTTTGGCGTGCAATGCAACCGAAGACTTCCTGAGAAGAATCCCATCATATTTCAGCCAAAGAACACTCCAGAAAGCCGTGACACCAGCATCAGCTTTTAAGATAAAAATATCAATTGCAGGGACACAAAGAAATTGTATTTTCAAGCAGACTAATTAATTACAAAAGGACCAAATTAGGCTGAGTTTCAGAAAAAAATCCCTGAGAACAAGAGATACTCTATCACTTAGGGAATTTCACACCAAGACTGGATAAAACATTAGAGCATTTGCTGTGGAGAACAATCCCCACAAAGAGAAACGCTTCAACGAACAAAGATGCAGCAAATTTTCACTTTTTCCAGTATTATACCGAAACTTTGATGTAATCAACCTACCAGTAGCGAGAAACTATCGTGTTCTTCCCTAAAGAGCTAGGGCCAGGCTACTTAACATGTTCTGCTGACAGTATTCCTAGCTGACACAGGAGTATCGGGAGAGGAAAAGACTATGCAGAGAGATAATTAAATAGCTGGAGACAATTAATAATCTACTTTTTAAAACAATTACCAAACAGCAAGCTTCTCAAAGCTTTCATGGCACAAGATCAAGACAGATTTCTCTTTACTGCCTTATCAGGAGAAAGGAAATAAATACTTTGGAACTAATACCTGAAGGCCTCATCGTATAGTTTACCCGCTCGCCTCGCCAATACTCCAGAGGTCTTAGTCGTATCCTTTTTGTCCGACGAACATTGGGCGTGTTGGAGGGCATTACTAATTGAAAGGATGAAATTGTTCCCGTTAAGTATGAAAGGAGAATTCAGAAATGGAAAACATCAAATATTCCTTCCTGTTCTTCCATATCTGGGGGTGAGTGTTTCCCAGATGATATTCGTATCGCATTGCTATCATGACAGGAAGAGGGAATCAAGCATTGCCAAAAGTTGTTTTCTGCATACATCAGTACTTCACTCTCCTTTTGCTTAAACAGTCACCATCCTGGCTTTGCATTACATTCCACTCTACGTACGCCAGTGAATCGCTGCGATACGGACATCAGGGGCTCAAGCACCAGGAGCAGCAAACATGCTACAAGTGTGAAGACAAAGCTCTCGGCACAGACGAAGATCCCTGCCGAAATCTGAGGGATTTCATCAGCAACAGCGAAAAGGCGCTGCCTGGGATAGGGCAAGAGGAGTAACACTGACTGTGTAAGCAGCCCCTCTTCCACATTCTTAAACCCCATCTCCAAGGTCCAGAAAAGCAGCACTTGTGCCAACAGAAACCCCACACACTTCCAAGACTTCCCAGATATGTATCTTCAGACTTACTTATTACATAGTCTCAACTTCCCATTTTTCTAAGTTGCCAGATAGGAATAGAGTAAGTTTCGATATTTTAGTGTTTATAAGAAAGAAGAATAAAAGCCCCTTAAGAGTTGAGAGCAAATCATTCAAGAACATTTAAATGCTAAAAATAAAAATGGTAAATAAAACCTTGCTGAAATAGTTTTTCACGGTTGACAACAAGTGTTGTCCCTAAAACCATAACGAGGAGAATAAAACCCAACAAACCCAGACTGGTACGGGACCACAGTCGCCCGCAGGCCCGTTGCTCTGTCCCACCCAGACTCAGAGCACCACCCGAGGCAGGCTACCTGCACCCCCACCTGCACTGCGCAGCACTAACTCACACCCCCACTGGACTGTAAGCAGCGTCTTCACTCAATATTAAATGAAAAATGGAAAGGTGACAGTTACAAACATAATTGTTGAATACAGTAATAAAAAAAGAAACAGCAGAAGTTTTTAAAAGTAACTTAAACCTCAGAGCCAGGTTATGGTACCCCGAAGAGCCAACAAGCCTTTTCTGTAAATACTTACTAACACATGAACCCATTTCCAGGTGTTTTCCTGTGTCTCTTTCAAAGCTAACATCAAGCTGGAAATGTATTTGCACTTATGCACTTACATCGAGTTATTTTAAAACAATCTTACCTATTTTATGCCTTGCGACGTCGTCTGACAACAGGTCTCTCATTTGGAAGTACGAGTCTTCAGAAGTACCTGAAAATACATTCCAAAACCCACCATTATAGGCATTTACTGTGCCTGACTTTTATTTAACGTACCCACTAGGGCAGCACAAGCAGAAGTCCCAACTGCAGTGTCCCCACTAACATTTCTTTCCTTAAACATATACTGTTTACCTACTTCAGATTTCATGAATCTAATTAGTTTTCGAAAAATGTAAGCTTGAAAATTACATGAAAATTACACATTGATGTAAATATTCCTCAGACCCATCCCTCTGAAAAAACTAAGATTGCCAAATTACAGCTACACCTGTAATTTTGCTCAAAGTGCAAGGTCATTCAGCTTTACACCACTCAGCCTAACTTCAGACCACACACAACCAGGTCTCTGAAGAAAGCATCCCATGAACTAACAACATTCACAACCGGCTCTAAAACACTGATGAAAAGACTTCCTGTTCCTGGGGCTCAAACTCACATGTGTACCTTGTGTAGGGACACCTAAAACCAAAATAGCCTTAGGTGAAGAAGACACGCTCCCGTAAGGCTGTACGGGACGGGTGAGGTGATTGTACGTGGGACCATCGCATGACAACGCACCAAACTGGTACAAACTGAGGCTAAAAAAACTTGTTCCAAGTATTCTGGAAGGGTAACTTCATCCCTGGAGGATGCCAAAGCCACGTAGTGCTTGTCTTTTCAAAGCTAACCCAACGTAAAGCTGGCAGAGTCTATCAGGTACTCGGGCAGAAATGTGACCACAGCCAATAAATCTGCATTTCTTACTCTGGACAAGCAGAACACAACAGAAATCCCTGTACCAGCAGTTACAGCTTGTAAGGAGCTTACACATAAAATATAAGAAAAGATCAACTCAAAACATTACCTGAAGATGTATTATCCTGTTCACCAGACTTCCTTCTGGAAGCAGATCTATCACAATGCTCCAGAACAGGCCCACTTCAAGGGAGAGAAAGAAAGTGCACCTGCTTGAATGTGTTAAATGTCAAAGGAACATCACAGTACTACCAAGAATAGCAAATACAAGGCTTTTTTCTGATTATGTGGGGTAGGTTTGGGTTCTTTCCCTTCTAAACATCTGTCTGTACCGATCAGACACCGAAGCAAATGACGGCTGGTCAGGAGTCACAGGCCTGACAGTCATCAGCTCCTCTCCTCAGTCACCAGGCAGACAAACCAGCGCCCACATCTCCTCCCCACACAGGCTTCCTAAACATCTAACTTCCTTTCCTTCCTTCCTCCCTTCCAGAACAGACCTCCTCCTCTGTAGCGTCACCTTTCAAACAACTTCCACAGCTTCTGATTCTAGGAGTGCTTTAAAGACATGTTTTGCACAGGGTACGGAAAGGACAGTAAAACAGTTTATAACTGTGATGTGTAACAGGTATTACTGTGGCACAATCTGCCCCATAACAGGACAATAATTAACATTTATGTAACTCCACCAGAGATTCTCTAGCACTCACACCTGGAATTCTCTCCCAGCTTTAGCATTAGCTCCCCAGCCCCCACTCCGTCCCCCACCCGCTGCTTTACATGACCCCCCTGACCTCCCCAAGAGGCATTTCAAGGCTAGAGTAGCAAACCTGCGCTATAAACGTGTGCAATTCAGCCTGCGGTAGGCTCTTATCATCAAAAAATCAAGCTTTCAGTAGAATTACGATGTAAGAATGTAATAAATTGACAGAGTGCCGCTCCTGTTTGCTTTGCTGTGCAGCTCCCGTCCCAGGCAGGAGAAGATACACAGGTCCATATCCTACTTCACAGCAACTCTATGAGTACAGCTGTTACTAGTTCCAGGAGCACTGGTATTCCTCTTCAAAAATCACACACTAATGTGGAAGCAAACCTCAAAGGAAAAAAGCCCCAAAGGCAAGAAGATTACTACAACCCCTTGCTCATGACAGGAAAAAGAATGCTATTAGCTCATTAACCGTATTAACGTGGTATTTAAAGACCTCAGGCATGAAGCACTATCCCTTTTCTACTAGGTCCTTCGCCAGCAGAATGCAGTAGTGTTGCCCAAGAGCTGCTCTCAGTGGGGCAGAAGTGGGGTTAAATGCAGGTTGTACAGACAACTCAGGAAATTACCTTTCATGACTCACACGCTTCTCAGCGGCAAAGGAATCTCTAGAAGAGACAAAATTCTTATTATGTCTACTGTTGAGTCAATTTTACTTACTGAAAGGAACATGTAGGTGAGTAATTTTACATAATAAATAGAAAACAGCAATGCAAATAACACCAATTAAAAACTCAGACGGGTAAAAGAAACCTCCTCTTTTGACTACCAATCATCAGTAAAGTTACTTCCACAAAAATAAAAACAGCTGAAGGATCACACTGTGGATTTTCCCAATTTATAAACAAAGTAACAAACCTGGCAGCAGATTCTGTGTCACATCTTTTTTTGTTGCTTTTAAACCAGATCTGCTACTGGTTGGGCTTGTTCAGCCTGGAGAAGGGAAGGCTCCAGGGAGACCTTATTGCACCTTCCAGTGCCTGAAGGGGCTACAAGGAAGCTGGGGGGGACTTTTTACAAGGGCCGGTAGTGACAGGACAAGGGGTAACAGGTTTAAATTGAAAGTGGGGAGGTTTAGATTAGATATCAGGAAGAAGTGCTTCCCGGAGAGGGTGGGAGCACTGGGACAGGTTGCCCAGAGAAGCTGTGGATGCCCCATCCCTGGAAGTATCCAAGGCCAGGCTGGATGAGGCTTGGAGCAACCTGGTCTAGTGGAAGGTGTCCCTGCCCATGGCAGGGGGGGTGGAACTGGATGATCTTTAAAGGGCCTTTCCAACCCAAACCATTCCATGAAGATGTGTTAAATTACCTACCAAGTTACATACGGAATTATATAAAAAGCTTACTGTGGCCCACGTTCCGCGTTGCATTTTCTTTTCTTGGTTGCTGTTTTCACTTCTGATAACTTCTGTTTCTTTCTTGCCGTGCCTTGTGCAGAAGGGCTGTCAGAATCAGACTCAGTGTCCTCAGGGTTTGAGCAAATGCGATGAACCTTTTTGGGTGCCTTCCCTGAAAACTTGGCTGCCAAGTGTTTCTTTTTGGAACCCTTCACGCTGCCGGCGAGATGCTGTAGGGCTTTTACAGGAGTTTTGTTTTGTGCACCACCACGTGACTCCAGTGTGTGCGATACGGGGGTTTTCTTAGGCTTTTCAGACTTAGCCAACTTCTGAACCACCGAAGTCCCTAATTTCTGATGCAGAGGCGAGGAAAACACTTCATTGGATTCTACAGGCTCTCTTCCAAGTTCTTCTTCACCAGGTTCGCTGTCAGAACTCTCCACTCTTCGTAACTGAGGCTTTTTAGTACTACTTTTCTGGGCAGACTTCTTAAGCTTCTTCCTCGGACTCTCCGCCAGTCTTTTGGGTACCGTATCTTTCAGACCTTTCTGCTTAGGACTTTGTTTCTTGTGCCCTAAATTCTGAGAAGCTCTTGAAGCCGACTGCAGATACCTGGGACTCTTTTTCAGAGAGACAGTCTGCTGTTGCCGACGCCCAGCCGAGGGCACAGGCACATCCTCTCTTGGCGTCACGCTCGTTTTACATTGTTCTGCATCGGGTGCTTCTGTTTCCGACCCAGACCACACCAACATCAGCTTTTCAGCTTCTCGGTGCCAGGACGCATCCTTTTTCTGGGCTGGAGAGCCTTGCCTGAGCACATCCTTTTTAGTCTTTTTTCCTATGAATACACAAAACTCTGAAACGTTAATATCTTTTCCCATTAAACCTGAAGGATAAATATTGACATGTGAGTGCATAAAAGCGAACCAAAGAATCAAAAAACCCCCGAAGTATCACAAACCCAGATTTCCCCGATGGTTAAAAGGCTTTCTCTGAACTATAGTGTATGGGGGGGGGGGAAATCAACACAGCATTTTTGGTGTACTTCCAGTATTTCCTAGCGGAAAAACAGGACAGAAACATTAAAATCATTCTGCTTTCCAGTTTTCAGTGTCTCTTACTACTAACTCTCCTCAAATAATTCCTTAGAAGGGATCCCCTCCGGTTCAAGGCACGTCTCCTAACCCCCGTTTCATGGAGAGGAGCAAAAGCTTGCGGGTACCTGCCTTCTTTGCCTGCTCCTAAGAAAAGGCAACACTGCTAATGGTTTTTAATGCCCTAACAGGAAGGGCAGGGGGAAGGGAAAAAATTAAGCAAAGACACTCTCTCACTGCCTTATATACACCCAAACCTACCTGTGCCACTGAAATGTCAATTAGGAATCCATAAATCTCTCATCTACTTTATCCTGATTTCCCAAACAACCACCACAAAGCCAGTGACAGGACGTGGAAGGAGAATTCTGTTAAATAACTTACCCGTGTGAGTCCTGGTTTGCCTTTGAGATTTAAGGACCTTCCCTTTACCGTTAGAGACTGGATCTGATTCTGATGTTCCTTTGAAGTCCAGTACTCTGACATCCAAATCATCCATTTTCTGTTCAATAAGTGCTTCAACCTGTGCTTTTCTGTTCTTGCCTTTCTTACTCCCTGTTGTCTTCTTTTCAGAGGGCTGCGGTTTAGAAACAGGAGTTGCAGAGCCATCTTTCTTTGAGTTTTTGTTCTTACGGGGTATTGAAAACCAAGCATTAAAACATGCATCATCTGGTTCATCAAACGAAAATTCACATTCACTTTCTACTTCTTTATCTTGATCTTTCACAGGAAGAGGTGACGGCGGCGATAGTGTGAATGAATACCTAAAGAGAAGGGCAAAGGCATGTCATCTGGGGGGAAAAGAGTTGACTTTGGATCTTGCGATCCTAGTGGTGACTCTACAACACCTAAACACGCTACACATGTTCCTCGGAAGGATTATTGTGAAGTTCATCATTCAGTGCCCTTAAGTGTCCAAAAAGAGCACAAGGCCTGCTTCTCCCTGCTTTGGCCCCGTGCTTACATCTCATTATTTCTCAAGTGCTGGACAGACAACTTCCGATCTACCCACCCAGATCCGCACTAGCCCTGGAAAAGGCTAATCACTGCTAACTGCAGAATCACGTAAGGTTTTCACCAACCCTCCAACCGTATCCTGGGCTGGATCAGAAGTGTGGCCAGCACATTGAGGGAGGGGATTCTCCCCCTCTGCTCTGCTCTGGTGAGACCCCACCTGGAGTGCTCTGTCCAGCTGTGGAGCCCTCAACATCAGAAGGATATAGACCAGTTGGAGCGAGTCCAGAGGAGGCCACGAAGATGATCAGAGGGCTGGAGCCCCTCTGCCATGGGGACAGGCTGGGAGAGTCGGGCTTGTTCAGCCTGGAGAAGAAAAGGCTCCGGGGAGACCTTATTGCACCTTCCAGTGCCTGAAGGGGCTACAAGGAAGCTGGGGGGGGACTTTTTACAAGGGTCTGTAGTGACAGGACAAGGGGTAACGGGTTTAAATTGAAAGTGGGGAGGTTTAGATTGGATATCACGAAGAAGTTCTTCACAGAAAGGGTGGTGAGGCACTGGGACAGGTTGCCCAGAGAAGCTGTGGATGCCCCATCCCTGGAAGTGTCCAAGGCCAGGCTGGATGAGGCTTGGAGCAACCTGGGCTATGGAAGGTGTCCCTGCCCATGGCAGGGGGGTGGGAACTGGATGGTCTTTAAGGTCCCTTCCAACCCAAACCATTCTGGGATTCTACGATTCTCCCTATCACCACATCTCAGGCTCCATCTGAAACCCCATTCAGCAGCTACATACCATCGTACTGGCAGACAAAAGCAACAGCACAAAACTTTGAAACAACCCTTCCAAGCAGCATTGCTCGGTAATGCTGGACTATCCCCCAAACATAGAATCATAGAATCACTGGGTTGGAAAAGACCTTAGAGATCATCCAGTCCAACCGTATCTGTCCACCACTAAACCGTATCTCTCAGCACCTCATCCACCCGTCTCTTAAACACATCCAGGGATGGTGACTCCACCACCTCCCTGGGCAGCCTGTTCCAGTGCGTGATAACCCCTGGTTGCTCCAGTCCTTAGGACTGGGTTATTTTACCAAGAAATATGTTCCACATTAGGCCACAAAACAAACCTTTTTCTAGTAATGCTGGACTATCCCCCAAACATGGAGGATGTTGCTCCAGTCCTCAGGACTAGGTTATTTTACCAACAAATATGTTCCACATTAGGCCACAAAACAAACCTTTTTCTAAGCATTCCTGTCGTTACAGCTTCCAGGATGACAGAAGAGGCAGCCTTCTCTTTCCTTACGGAAGACGTAGCAGTACCTTCTGTTCCTTGCAGAACAACCTGCTCATCTCTCCCACCCTGAGGTCCTTCCAAATTTTCAACTTCCACGTGGCTCTTCGCTGCACCAGGAGGACTATTTTGGTCATCAGAATGCAATCTGTGTATGAGAAACAGCATTCAAATAAGACGCTCTACATCCTGAGTGCACATTCAAGCATCATGTGGACGGACAGATGTGTTCATTTTCTCCTGCTGACAGCACCTCACAAGTGAGCTTGATCTGGTAATTTGCTGGAACGCAGGTTAGCGGGACTGCTTCCCAGCACAGGGGCAGGTGTCCAAACAAATGAGGCAACATGGGATCAGCTTCTGACTCTTGATTACAGCAAGGGCAGCTCAGCAAGAGAAATGTCTCATTTTTGGACATGTGCTTCAGAAACTGTCAGGTTTCCTAGACCCTAGCTGCAATGTCTTCCCAGTCTCCCTCCATCAATGGGAGTCACCCAGATCAGTGCCCTTCCCTCCCCATGATCTCTCTGGAGGATCAGTCCTCCAGGAAAGCTGAACTGTGGCTGGGACCACTGACCACTCTTGCAGCTGGGCTTCAGAATTCCCAAAGAGGAGATAATGATCACAACTGAAGTCGTTCTGCTTTGTAGAAAACATCTGTGTATTCAGAGCAAGAGGAACAGTGACTGCTCCTCTCTGCTTTAACAAAGGTTTTGTTAACTTCAGGTCAACACTGTCAACAGGACTCACTGAAAAAGTCTAGACTAGGTAAGCATCTGATAATCTGGGGCAACTCCCTGCAAAAAAGGAGCTCAAATCTATTCTGACAGGCTTCCCGAGTACTGCACTGTAGGGAATTAACCCTTATCACCAGAACATTTAATACAAAACAATTCTGCCCTTTCTAAACCCAGATATGGAAATTTTCTAAAAAGCTTGGAATTCGTTTCTACAAGTTCACAGTCCAAACTCAAAAATGGCTGAAACCACCATGTTAATTTACACTCAGGAAGGGGGACAGGGGACACGACATCACCACCACGTTCAGCTTTACTTACGTATGTACAGGAGATCCTTTCGGTTTTTCCACAAGAAGAGGTGATCCGACAGCCCCGTGATCATCCTCCGTGTCCGAAGACTCGGCCAGGCTTCTGCACAGTGCTTCAGCATCTTCTGCTATATTATTTGTTTCTCTTTTGGACACAGGAGATGTTGGTTTTTTAGAATCAGCTAAGTCACCATGTACTGCAGGCCTCAGGGGTGATTCATATGGCCATCCTGACAAATATAGAGAACAGGCTTAACTCTTGTCCTCAAAACCTTACAAAAGCCTAAGAAATAGTTACATCCTCCCTCCCCTCACCCCCAAAAAAAAAGAAATCTTAACTCAATAATAGTGCTACGAACCTCTGCTGCTGACTGGTGTTGGTGGTGCTGCAGACAGGGACTCTGCAGAACTACAGGCTCTTTTCACAGAGTTAGTTAACCCTGCCTTCGGCTGTCACAGGCGTTAACGAATAACAAGACAAAGTAAAATATTTGATAAAGCAACTGCATTTTGAAAGGAATATACATTTCTACACAACACGATACCATTTCCTCCCCTTAATTCTTACTCTTCTGAAGCACAGTTCTAGTACAACTAAACACTTCTGTTTTCTACCACATTTCTAAAACTCTGTGTAAATTACAAACAACTGGTAAAACAACGTGTACAGTAAAAATCCATTTGCAGCTTTCAAGAGACATCCTGCTAGTCCACAGGAAAGCTATTTACTCTTTATATTAGAATGAATTGATTTGAACAGTTTAATGCACCTTTATTAGGTCAGTCTAAGGCTTTTGCAAGAATTACTGAGATTAAATATCAGACTAAAGTAAGCAAACGCCGTTATACAGGATGCCTGTTCTCAACACTGCCATTAATAGAATATCCTATTTTTACCAAAAACTACTAGAAACAAAGTATTTGAACCAAGTATAGAAACTAGATTACTGGCATCATTCTCTCAGAGTGTTAACAAGTCCTTCAACTTGTATCCACTCTTCAACAAAGTTACAGATACACAAAGTTCCCCTGGCAGTAACTGATCAGGCATCTACAAGCTGCTCTTGTACAAGAATCATCCCTCAACGTCACTGTCCATCGGATGACCAAGAACTGTGCCCATGCCTCCAGCAAAGTGACGGAAACCAGCCCCAACGGAGCCCACACCCAGCGTGCTTCAACCTGAGACCATGAGAAATTTAATATCCTGGACAAAAAGCTGAAAAAGCTTTCATTAGCAAACGACCCCAGAAAATAAGCTATTGAATAAGTCTAGTTACAGAATATTTGCTACTAGAGCACAATAAACTAAGGAAAAACCATTACCAACTACTACAGGTGGTCACAGCCTATCTACTAACACAAGGCACTTATGGAGCTTATTTATTCAACACTCGCAGGATTAAGCCCTACAGAGCTGAACTCATACCCAGCGTGACACTGCCCTAACTAACTCACCCTTTGGCTCTGTCCTGAAGTCCTCTTCTTGTTTCTGACAACAGGACTTGAGTAACAGGTTGCACTCGGAGAGCTTATTGTAAGATCGCTGCCACAACCTATAAAGAAAAAACTGTAAGTAAGAGATTCTTGGAATTGTCCAGGTTTCAGTTATTTTAACAAGTTGCTAGGGCTTGTTAAGGTCA